TTCGAGCCCTGTACAGGGCTCTGTGCTGACACCTGTTTGGAATTCTCTTCCCCACCCGCCCCTTCCCCTGCTCAGGCTCATACTTGTGTTCTCTCTCTCTCACTCTCTCAAATAAATAAATAAACTTTTTAAAAAAAGACTCTTAACTATAGAGAAGAAACTAGTAGTTACCAGGGAGGAGGTTAACGGGGGGATGGGTGAAATAGGTGAAGGGGATTAAGAGTACACTTGTCATGATGAGCACAGAGTAATGTACAGAATTGTTGCATTACTATATTGTGCACCTTAAACTAAGATAATACTGTACATTAACTGTATTGGAATTTTAAGAATAAATAAATATTTAAAATAAATAAATAAAAGCAGGTGATGGCTAAATGTATGATGACAACAGAGGGAAAGAACGAGTTCACTTCCGAAAATGTGGGATGCCATGAGATATCCAGCAGACATGGAGAGGGGTAGGGGTAAAGATGTGTCTTTGGGGGTGCTTGGGTGGCTCACTCGGTTCAGCGTCCAACTTCGGCTCAGGTCATGATCTCAAGGCTAGGGAGTTCAAGCCCCGCATTGGGCTCTGTGCTGACAGTTCAGAGCCTGGAGCCTGCTTTGGATTCTGTGTCTCCTTCTCTCTCTGTGCCTCCCCTACTCACACTTTGTCTCTCTCTCTCTCTCTCTCTCTCTTTCTCAAATATAAACATAAAAAACAAAAACAAAAAGCTGCTTCTCTGGAAGCCATCAGTGAGCAGGTGGAAGTTGATGCCGTGAGAACAAACAAACTTAAGGAGAGAAAGCTTGGAGCATCAACCTTGAAATCCATGGAACCCTGGGGAGCCTCAACCTTTAAAGGCTAGAGGCTTCTTTAAAACACACACACACACTTAGTGGTGCCAAGTGCTATATATCCAGTAATTGGGCCAATATTTCCAAGCACTTATTAAGTGCTCTGTACTATTCTAAATGCTTTGGGAATACAGTTCGTGGAATCCTCACAAAATTCCCATGAGGTAGACACTATCCCCACTTGACAGGTAAGAAAACTAGCCCATCCCCAGCCCCATGGCTTGTAAGAGGCAGTGCAGGGATACAAAGCCAGACAGTCTAACTCCACAGCTGGCACTTACAGCCTCCAGACTGTATAGTTTTCCTCAGTAATGTCTGAAATTTTTTGAGCACTGCATTCTAACTTAGCTCATTCTCAGAATAACCTTATTTGGGAGAGCACCTTTATTATCCGTGTTGCAGAGATGGGAAAACTGGATCACAGGACACTTACCCAGGATCACAGCCTGGTAGAAACATAAAGGGACAGTAGACCCATGGGGTGCCTGGCTGGCTCAATCGGTTAAATGTCTGACTTTGGCTTGGTCATGTTCTCGCCATTCGTGAGTTCGAGCCCTGTATCAGGCTCTGTGCTGACAGCTCAGAGCCTGGAGCCTCCTTCTGATTCTGTGTCTCCCTCTCTCTCTGCCCCTCCCCTGCTCATGTTCTTTCTCTCTGTCTCTCAAAAATGAATAAATGTTAAAAAAAAAAAAAAAGAAAAAGAAAAAGTATACCCATTCCTGAGGAAATTCAATTTTTTTAATATTTATTCATTTTTGAGGGAGAGAGACAGAGCGTGAGCAGGGGTTAAGGCAGAGAGAGAGAGGGAGACACGGAATCAGAAGGAGGCTCCAGGCTCTGAGCTAGCTGTCAGCACAGAGCCCAACACGGGGCTCAAACCCATAAACCATGAGATCATGACCTGAGCCAAATTCAGAAGCCCAACTAACTGAGCCACCCAGGCGCCCCGCCATTCCTGAGGAAAGTAAAGCATGATCAGCCAGCACTTGGTGGATGAAAATGAGTGGACAAGAATCCTAATCAAAGTGAAATGTAGAAACGAAAACTCAGATTTTGAGGAAAATTAGAGAATTCTGAAATGTCAGTGTTGGGAGAGGCCTAGGACATCCATTAGCGCTGTTCACCAAATGCCAGGTATGCGGTGTGACAGACTACATGTACTCTCTGGCCCCCTGTGCTTATATGGGGCCTAGAAGGAATTGTGAAAGGAACTGTGAGAAGACATGGCACCTGTCACTCTCGGGCCATGTGACTGCCAGTGAGAGACACCTCCCTCCCCCAGAGTGCTCTCCTCTGTCACTTTCCATCACAGCACACTGCAGCCGCCACATGTCCCCTGAGCCCCAGAGCAAGGAGACGTGGAAACGAGCCCATGCTGACCCACAGTGGGCATGTGGCACGGATGAGAAATAAACCTGGCTGATACAAAGCCTTAAATGGAATCTGGACCGGGAACCTGAGGAGCCAAAGGGAAAGAGCTCTGCCCAACATCACAGAGCTGCTGCCTAGAACTGAGGGCCAAGATTCCCAGGTCCCCACATCCTGTTCAGTTGTCTTTCCTTTAGACCTGACCAAGCGTGTCGCACATCTCACAGGTCACCGCCCCTTCAACCTGAAGCACATTCTGCTTCTGTAAATTAACACAAAGTTCAAATTAAACTCATCGCTGCCTAATTTTTACAAACTGTTTCCTCGTGCAACACACTCAGAACTCTGTTTTTTCAGGAGAAAGAGGGAGACATCGAGGGGGGTCCAGAGGGCTGGGGGCGGGAGACCCACTCTATTATTTATAGAATTGAGGCTAATTTAATTAAGTTTTGACAGAAAGTGCTCAATTTCGCAGACAGTTGCCACCCGTTTCTCCTGCAGTCTGGATTTCCTCACAGTAACTGACTCAGCTCCATCTTCCTCTTTGATGTATGAGGCTATAAAACAGGGAGTGAGCAAGTCACCTTCGAAGAGGCCTTTTGTCATTGCAATAACTAGAAGTAATTTATGGGCACCTGGAATTTGGGTTCTCTGTCTCTGACTCGGCAACAGACCGAAATCACAATCTGGAGTCTGGCAGCCAATCAGAAGGTCAAAGTGACTCTGAAATGTATCAGTCTTCTAGAATCTAGGGTAAGGAAACAGCAATGCCCACACTCAGCAATGAAACCATCCGCCAAAGTTTTAGACTCAGGCTGTCTTTTGGGTATCTGGGACTTACCTCTCCTTTGGGTGTCCTGGGATACCCTCCCCTATCCTGATCACCATCCATGTCCCTGCCATCCTTCAGGACCCAGTTTAGTTCCTGCCTCTTCTAGGAAGCCCTCCCTGGCTACCCTCGCCCAGATATGTACTGCATACTCTGACTGTACAATTATATTGGCACCTGTCACATACTCACTTGGTGCATGCTCTTTATGTATGCAGGTCTAGACACTATAAATCATGTTTCTGTAGACACAGGTTTTGCATCACGTGCCACTGATCAGTTAGTGGTGGTTGCCCTAGGGGGTCACAGGGACAACTCTCAGCCTGCATCTGGGCTCAGTGGTTACCAGGGTAAATTAGGGGCACCTGAGTGGCTCAGTCAGTTACATGTTCAACTCTTGGTTTCAGCTCAAGACATGATTTCACAGTTTGTGAGTTAGAGCCCTGCACTGGGCTCTGTGCTGAAAGAGGCTGTTTGGGATCCTCCCTCTCCCTCTTTCTCTGCCTCTCACACATTCTCCCTCTGTCTCTCGCTCTTTCTTCCTCTCTCTGTCCTCTCCCCTGCTTGTGCTCTCTCTCTCAAAATAAATAAATAAACTTTAAAAAAAAGTGTAAACTGGGGCACCAGTTGGCTCAGTCAGTTAAGTGCCCATCTCTTGATTTCAGCTTAGGTCATGATCTCAGGGTCATGGGATTGAGCCCCATATCTGGCTCAGCACTAGGTGTGAAGCCTGATTAAGATTCTCTCTCCCTCTCTCTCTCTCTCTCTCCCCCTCTGCCTCTCTCCCCCACTCATACTCTCTCTCTCTCTAAAAACTGGAAAAAAGAAAAAAGTGTAATTAGCAAAGTCTTGATTAGCAAAGTCTTGCAATGATCATGGCCAGGTGGAGAAGGAAAATATACGGCATATATCTGTCCTCTGTGCTATATACAGTAATGTACAAATCCATAATGTACACTTACTCATGTTCCCAGCAACGTTTGCATTGGCACACAAAGCATGCTGAAAATTATTTGAAGAATAAGTATTTCCCATTTTAGCAATGACCTAACTTTAATGCATTAATCATATGTGTTCTAATTATAATTCTTTCAAATAGTTAATACACATACGTGTAAACCAGATTCCCCTCAGAAATTTTTCCAAAGCTAGACTTTATATGAGGGATGGCTTTTGATAGATCAACCACCTAACGTTTCTGAATCTGAAAATATGAATACCTTTAAAACCCCTGGCATCTGTACAGTAATAAATGATTTTCAAAGGTTTTGTATCTCGTTTCTCATCTGATCACAATGTGAGTTTCATGAGGTAACAAACAACTTCTATTTTACAGCTTTGAAACAACTCGTTTAGTAGCATAGTGATTAGACAGGACTAGAAAAGGTAAACCAGCAAACATTAACCAATCCCCCCCATAAAGTAAAATAAGCATTTAAGGTCCAGACCAGTGTTTCCTACCTTCCTCCCCTCCCCCCGACCCCCCCCCCAGAACACCACGGTTTTTTGTGGACAAGTAAATTTGGAAAACATCACCAGGTGTTCCTACAGTAGGACTTCTCAGAGCTCCTGTTACACTGATGCACTTGGTGAACTGCACAGAGGACCCCTGACATGAAATATTTCCTGCCTATTTGACTCCAGAACCCTTTTAACAAAAAGCATCTGAGTCCTCCATAACCTTTTAGGAAATGTTCACCTGGGGTCATCACACTACTCTCCTTGCGTTTATCTAAAGTTACCAGCAGGGGCGCTAGAAGGACAGCAGAGTAGTTAAAGAGCAGGGGCTCTAGAATCCAATTGAGTTCAAGCTCTGGCTCTAGCACTTACTGGCTTACTAGCTGTGACCTTGGATGAGTCACTGAACCCTGAGCCTCACTTCCCTGCCTGTAACATGCAGATTCTAGCAGGGCCCTCTGCCCTCGGGCTCTCAGATGGGGTGAAAGGAGGCAGCGAGACCTACCTCATATGTGCACTCAGTGAATGCCAACTGCTATTACTGCCAATGAGGAGGAAGGTCAGAGTAGAATCTATTTAAAAACAGAACAAAGCATCACAAGTCAGGCTCCACAGGAAGCAGATTTCAAAACGGAGTGTAGAGCACAGGAGGTTTATGGAGGAGTGCTCCTGAGGTCAACATCTGTGGAAGGGAAAGGAGGAGTAGGAAGGGGGAGGCAGTGGAGCTGTGATGTGGCCCAACAAGAGCCAGCCCCATGGGGACAGATGCAGAGCTAAACTGACCCTTCAGAATTGTCCCCAGTGGGGCTGGGAAAATTGGGTGGGTGTTTGTAACCCCGTATGGCTCAATCGCTGAATATGGGTCACCCCAAGGAAGGCCCCACCTTAGGCAAGAGGACTCTCCACAACTCAGGCAGTCCCGCAAGGGGCCACCAGCACTGCCAGCAGCTGGGACAAGTCCTCCACCTCCTCCGAGGGGTGTCAGAGCAGTGCACCCACACACTGACATGAGAACAGTGTCCACCATGCAAAAAAAAAAAAAAGGCAAAAAATGAAACAAAGCAAAAGCTTCCTCTGATCCTCTGGGAAGGAAACAGGGCAGCCTGCAGACATCAACCAAATCTAGTCATTTATTCGTTCATCATTTATTAATGCCTACCATATGCCAGGCCCCAGGGCTTAGGACTTAAGAAGCAGGTACTAATTCTATAGCAATAATAATAATAATAATGTTTTCCCCTGACTTTCTAAGGCATGAAAATAAAGATGGAGAAACAGAGAAGAAAGAGCTATCAGATCACTTGAAGCCAGGATGTATTCTCAGGTGATCAGTCACCTGTCAGCCCAGTATGAAAAGGTGTTAATTTGAATGAAGAAAGGGACACGGCCATTTTTTTCCCCACAGCAATATATCAGGCTGTTCTCCTGGTGACTTAGCGTGCTTGGCAAACTGTGTGCACTGCACAAAATTGAATTCCCAGGTTTGGGGAGGCCTGGGCAGGCTCGAGGTACATGAGGATTTATGGCTTTAAGGCACTTAAAATGCCTCCCACTAAATTTGTTGTGACCTTCTCCCCCTGCCCATGGCCCGAGGTTAAACACAGCCTGGGGCTGAGCAAAGGTTAACAGCACAGCAAATCAAGCCAAAGCAGCCCCAAGGAGACAGGTCCTTGTGAGGTGGAGGGAAGGTCCTTCCATGTCCCTGAAAGGCCGGCTGGGACCGTCTCTCCTTTGGAGGCTTCAATCCTCAGGGCCCACCCTGCCCTCCAGTCTCCTCTTAATCTCTCCATCCGGTCACCTAACATATTCTCTCCAGTGGCCCATGGAGCACTGTTCTCCTTCAGAATCGATGGCTGTCTCACTTTTCCCACTGAACTTCTTACCTGTTTATGTCGAATCTTCCCAAGAGGTCGCCAGCAAGTGAGTCTGCAACTAACATGTCACGTTTGCATAGCACGCTATAATTTATGACCTGCGGAGAGGCAGGCACTGCCTCTGGAAGCCAGGGCACCGAAGCCCTCGGCGGCAAAGTGACTTGCCGAAGGTCACAGAGCAGAACAGGCAGGACAGAAGCCAGGCCCTCTCTGCCACAAACCAGCCCCGCCCACTGCCTCTCAGCCATGCCTTGACAGTATGCGTCATACTTAGTAGGACATCTGATCCAGGTCCTGCGCTGGCGGGATTGCCAGGGCGTCACAGAGGGAATGGCCAGTCTCCCAGAGGAAGCTCATGTCTGCACCCCTTCCACATTTATTATCCCCATCGAACACACCTGGAAAAGCCAAAGTTGGGGTTTTTTTCCTCCTCTTTGTATTGGCATCAAGCCCAAGCAAGAGACTAAAATTATGAAATAAAACAACAGATTTTTTTTTAATTTCACCATCCCAAGTGAATTTAGGAAATTATCATCCTGCAAGATGAAATGTTTTTCCTTTCAGTTAAATTTCTTGTTTTAAAATTTTCCCCAAAGCATCACTTTTTTGTTTTCATCTTTTTTATTTTGAAAGAAACAGAGAGAGAGTGAGGGAGGGGAAGAGAGAGAAGGAGAGAGAGAATCCCAAGCAGGCTCCACACTGTCAGCTCAGAGACCCACGTGGGGTTCGAACCCACAAACCGTGAGATCATGACCTGAGCCAAAATGGGACGCTTAAACTGACTGAGCCATCCAAGCGCCCCTCCCAAGGGTAATTTTAAGATTGAGTTCTTGGCAGGTGTTTATCCTGCACCTTCTCTTTCACTTACGCAGATGCCCACGGACTGAACACTGCAGTGGGGAGGTGCTGTGCTAAGCGCTGAGGCCCCCGGCTGGCAGATCCCTGTCCTCAGGGGGTCTTACAAGTTTCCTATGGTTATTAAACAGTTAAGTACAAAGCAGGATTTAGAAACATTGCTCTTTGTGACTCTGTTGGGGGGAGTTTAAAATAGTACAACCTTTATGAAGAGCAATTCTGGCAGAAGCTATGGAAATTTGTAACTTAGGACCCAGCAAAAGAAAACAAACTACGCTAAAACAGCAGATACCAATGCAAGGGCAGAAGGCTATAGGTCTAAAAATATTCATTCCAACCTTGTTAGTAATAGCAAAAAAAAAAAAGAAAGAAAGAAAGAAAAGAAAAAAGAAAGAAGGGCAGGGAGAGAGGAAGCAAACAGGAGAAGAAAAAAGGATGGCTTAAAATATTAGGGTACGTTTATACCATAGATTGCTAGGGAGTCAATAAATATGAGGCATCTATCTGTACTGACTTGAGAAAATGTTAATAAAATAGGCTAAGTGAGGGCACTTGAGCGACTCAGTCAGTAAGGATCTGACTTTGGCTCAGGTCATGATCTCACAGTATGTGAGTTCGAGCCCCGCATCAGGTGAGCACATGCCCCACTTCGGGCTCCATACTCCTGTGTCTCCCTCTCTCTCTGCACCTCACTGGCTCATTCTCTGTCTCTCTCTAAAAAATAAATAAATAATATTTAAAAATATATATATATATATATTGTGTATATATATACATACACACAAGTGCACTAAGAGAAAACAAGCAAGTAGGAAAACGATGTATATACTGGGCATATCTGTGTATGAGGATATGCGGATGGACCTATGCAGGCATGAATGTACATGAATGTACATGTGAATGTGTATGCAGAAAACTCAAAGGAGGAAAAACAGAAAAGAAGGATACAGACCAAACTGTTATCAGTGAATCTCTGAGTAGAACAAGGATGGTTTAAATTGACCAACTTCTAAACTTTGCAAAGTAGCATTCATTACTTCTGTAATTTTGAAAACCCAGGTTAGCACAATAAAGAGCACTAAGTGCTCTGACAGGGAAAGAAGAGAGCGCTATTGATGACCACCAAGTAGAAGTGAGTCACCCTTCTTCTTGTCATTTTAATCAGCTTATCCCACAATCTCCAACACACCCCAGCAAGACCCCAAGTATCCTGCGATTTATAACCCCACCTAGTGGCAGACAGGTGAATGTCAGGCACCCAAACCATTAGAGAAAAAGCATTTTTTGCAAAAGGAGGGCAGATGTGACAGACTTTATAGCTAAATGCTGTACAATGACTAGTGACAAAAGGGGCCCTGGAGAGCCCCGCTCACCTCACGGGTCATTGAGAGAAGAAGATGAGCCAAGTATGTGTAGAGGCTACGATTCCCAGTTCATGCACTCATGTGTGCAAGAAACATAATTTCTTTTATTTTTTGTTTAATGTTTATTTTTGAGAGAGACAGAGACAGCACGAGCAGGGGAGGGGCAGAGAGAGAGGGAGACATAGCATCCGAAGCAGGCTCCAGGCTCTGAGCTGTCAGCACAGAGCCCTGTGCAAGGATCCAACTCACAAACAGATGGTGACCTGAGCCGAAGTCAGAGGTTTAATTTACTGAGCCACTCGGGTGCCCCTCTTTTATTTTTATAACTCAGCTAAACTTGTATTTTGAGTTTTTACTCTACTAAGATGACAGAAACCTATTTTCAGTCAATACAGTACTCCCGACTCTACCTCCACCACCACTGCCAATACACACGGTTTACTCACAAATAACACCAGGATCGTGCCAGGTTCACGGTGGAGACTCCGTGGACCAAGGTGCTGGGAGTGGGGTCAGGTCTGCATGGGATTCCTCCAGGGCTTCACGCTCAGCTTCTTCAGGCCCAGCAACCTCCCCCTTGCTTCTGACTGAGTGGGGCACCCTCTGTGGCCTGCCCTGCCTCTCCAACAAGCCGGATGCCCCGGGGGCTCCCCCGCTACTCCCTTCCTGGCACTGAGCCCAGGGAGCAGGACACAGGACACCTCTTTCCCAGACCCGCAGAGTGCTGGGCCGGCTGAGAGGTAGGGCAGAGATGCCACAGAATGGCAGACTTCCTTAAGAAGGCTGACCTTCCCACCACTACATCGGTGGCCGTTACAATATCGGCGGGAAACAGAAATTTAAACCTTCCAACCGGGGACTTTCCAGTCAAGAGACCGCCCCTGTTATCTGAACTTCCCCCACCCCCACTAACAGGTTATAAAACCCCTCACCACCCAACCCGGGCGCGACCTCCCCGACCCCCCTCTCTGGAGTCGCGGAACCTCGCCCGAGGATGGATGTGGACCAGTTTGCCTTGGAGTCTTTTTTTTACTTACCTAAAAAACCTTACACAGAGTGCACTGTTCTTAACTTCCAGTCTGGATAGGGCTGCTGCAGGGAGAGGTAAATCCCTCTGTATTCCAACACTCCCCAAAGTTAGTGGGTGGGAGCCCAAAAACCTGGAAGCTCTATGTCACTCTTCTCCCCTGAGGTGAGGAAGCTCAGTGCTCGGCAGTGCAGGGCAGGGTCTGGGGATGGGGAGAAGGGAAAAGAGAAGGGGGGAAACGAAGCAACTCAGTGCCAGGTGCAAATGTTGTAGCGCTGGAGTTACAGGTTTGGTTATTGGCGTATAATTGTCCAGGTCTGAGTCCCCATTTTAGCACATGCTAGCAATTGGTCAAACAATGTCACTTTTCTTCAAGGATGATAGCATCTACCTACCTTGTGGGTCATATCCAGTGAGATAAAGGGATGCAGGTACTGAATCAGTCTTTTCCTTTCCCCTCCACTTACAAATAAAGGCTGAAATTTGACACTGGTCCATTGTAATTCAATTCAGAGTGCTTTACACACCACCTCTGCCTACAGGGGAAAATGTCCACTGTCTTAGAGTGAATCTCATGCTGACATCACTTATTCTTCTGAAGGATAAAGAGAGCACTGTCACCTTCTTAAGCTGAGCCTCTAAAAGGAGTTCCCAGGCCACCGTCTTTTGAGAAATTGTAACTTTCCCTAAGGCTGAGAGAAGCAATCGTTGGAACTAATGGCAATATCTACTCAAAGCCTCCTCAGGGCTTAATCTCAAAGGCTTTGCTCAGAAAAGCATTCACAGAGTTATATCCTATGAAGCTTTGGACCAAGGGACAAGCCTCTCCCTGAACAGATAAAGACAATGGCTTTCCCAGCTTCAACATGCGACTTACTGGGAAAGCTTCTGTAGGTTTGGGGTAGGGAGCATGAATCTGCATTTCTAACAAGTTCCCAGGTAATTCTGATGTGGTCAGTGGGAGACCATTCTCTGAGAATCAGGGGATTCGTGAAAAACACAATTCAATAGAAGGTCTAAGAGGAGCACTAAAATAAGACAGAGGTTTGCATATGTGACTCATTCTCCCTAGGGTACATTTACAGTTATCTTACAGGAAAGAGTGCAGTGATCCTCAGCATGCCTTGCTCAAGAACTAAGGTCTTACATTTATTAATACTCAACATTCTCATTAGAATGGCAAATGTTACAAGGCTAGTGCCCAGGGAACTTCAGGCCTCAATGGGAAGAGTTTCTCCTAAATCCTCCCCAAATACCACTCCATAAAAACCACCTGGCTAGGACCAGGGAATCCATTCGTCCTATAAATTCTACATACACATTTCCTCCTACCCAGGCTCTGGAGTTTAAGATTGTGCCGCCAGCTCACTTTCATCCCTTCTGTGGATTGGTCTCTTCTTCCAGACTCAGCAGGGCAAGGCAACTACTAAACCAGTCATCTGCCAGCTTCCAAGAGTTAGTGCATCTAGAAACATCCCCCAGTCTGTGGGATGGGGTGGGAACCATGTGGCCCTACTCACTACCATTTCTTACTAGACCAGGGATGAATAGGCCTTGCCCAGGCCAATCAGATTCACTCCTGGGAACGTGAAATCAAGATTCAGAGACATCTAGTCAGTATCTGAAATTAGCTGGACTGGTAATTACCAGGCGTCCAGAATTCACCAGATAGCCTGGGGAGCAGAAGAAACTAACCCACAGCAGAAAAAAAAAACAAAACAAAACAAAGCAACTATGCACAGGTGGAAAGAGAATTGACAAGCCTGAACCTGTGGCATTCAAGACCCGGCTTATATCTCTTTCTGATGCCTGTCTCAAGCTGCCCCCCACCCCGGGGGTTCCATGTGACATTTAACATCTTCTACATTATTTTCCCTTTTCTACTTAAGTTAGTTCCAATTAGAACTACTGAACCAACTATTGGCTGAGCACCCCAGCTGAGCCAGGGGCTATCGTTAGTACTGGGGAGATGGTGGTAAACACAACGGACCCATTCCTGATCCCACGGAGCTGACCTGCAAACCCTTTTGTTATCTGCAACCCAGCACACTTAGTGTAGCCTCTACACTTGCCCCATTACAGAGAAATACACACACAGAAAGAAAACTTATCAGAAAACAGTTTATTGAACATCTACTATGTGTCAGGCACCCTGCTAACAGCTTTACATCCACCTTCTCTCAATGAGGCAGGTACTATTATCATCCCCAGTTGCTCAAGGACACGCAGAATTCACACCTAGGTAGTCTGAATCTTCAGTGCCACTAAGAGATAAGTGAGAAAGGTCCAGAACAAATGTAGACACTGAGGGAAGATGTGTGCATGTGCGTGCATGCACACACACACACAATTTACACACACACACACACACACACACACACAATTCAGGCCAGCTACCTAAGCACACTCAGGCATCCCCCCTTGTTCTTTGTCAGGTGCTGGCCTCTGCTTCATTTCCACCTTACCAAGAGACAAAAACCAACCCCTCCCTCTTCCGAAATAACCTTGAGGAGTAGCTAGGCTCTGTAATGCTTTAATTGGACAGGAGCCTTCCAAATGTGCCCTCCTGAGAACAGCAGGGATGCATTTCCACCTGCCCTGGATTGCATATGAATGCTCTTAGAGAAATTCCAGAGAAGCATTTCAAATGCTTTCCACCAGCAGGTCAGCACTTACTCACTGGATGGCTCCCTGGGAGCCCCATTCAGGTTCCCTTTCAGTTCTGACTCAGCCTACTCCTTGCAGAACCAGGAGAGCCCTGAGTAGCTCCGATCCTGGTGGGCAGGAGTCTGGATCTCTCTGCCAACAGCCCCTCCCAGCTCAGGGTGGTGAGCAAAACATGCAGGTATGGCCAAGGCTTTAAGCCCTGCCGAGGCTGAAGAGGACATGGGATTCTAAGAGGCAAACGTGGGAAGAAGAGTGCAGAGAACTGCTGTGTGCACCTCAGCGTGCTCGTCTATAAAGCTGGGATCCTCAAATCCATCCTCCGTAGAAACCGATGCCATTTATCAAGCACAGGCACTGTGCTAGACAGTTTGCACATTATTTTAAAGAACCCTAGTAGGTAGAGATGATTGTCCCATTTTAATAAGTGACATAGCTGAGATCCCAAAAGATACAGCTGTTTAAAAAAAAATAAATAAAAGAGTTGGTTCACACAGCTAGTCCTGGTTCATAACCAGCAAAGCCAGAACTGTCACGATCCAAATTCCACACTCTTAGGTGTTAGCTAAGTCTCTTGACTTGTGTTTAAGAGAATAAAAGTGGCAGTGAAAGAGAAAAGGCCAAAGCCACCGACAGGTCTTTGTCTTCATAATGTGGCTGGCAGCAGTCCGGCCTGATCTAGCTGGAACTCGACTTCCTCACCTTCCCTGCGCACCCCTGATTTATATCCCAGCCCAGCTGCAGACGTCTTGGAACCATTTTCCGAAACCTAAGACCAGAGGCTTAGCCCCAGAACCCCTCAGCTGCCACCCACTCCAGCAAGTTCACAGAGCCCTGATACAAATGTGCTGACAAATCCATATCCCATCATCGTGGCTCGAGATTTTTAAAAACAGAAATCTGAGATGTGCGGAGGGAATTGGGAAGCAGTATCAGAGTTTAGGCTTCGACTGCTTCTTGAAAGAACAATAGGAAATGTCTGCCTTAAAGCCCCTTAAGGTGGAGATTTATGCTGAATTTGGGGAAACCTCTTTGAAATCCTTTGTTTCTCATCCTCTGCTGGCAAGAATCACTCACACTTTCCATTTCGTGTTTCCTGCTTGGCTCTCCCATGGCTTCGGGGTGAGCACTCTCTCCACTTGTCTGTCCTGAATTCTCAAGGTTCTTAGCACAAGAAACAAAAACAAAACAGCCAAATAATATCGAGTCCTCCATGGAGAAATAAATCCTCATATACATGTTTCAGAAACAGAAAGGCATGCTCTATTTTTCTCCTGATTGTCTTTTTTATTTTCTTTCCAGTTTTTATTGAGATATAATTGACATACAGCACAGTATATGTTTAGGGTGTGCGGCATACTGATTTGACTTAAATAGATTGTGAAATGATTACATTGATAAGTTGCTAACATCCATAACTCCATTATAGAAACAAAGAAAGAGAGTGAGGGAAGAAATGCTTTTTCCGTTGTGATAAGAACTCCTAGGATTTACTCTAACAACTTTCAAGTACACCATAGTGTTACTACAGCCATCATGTTGTACAGTACATTCCTACTATTTATCTTGTAACTAAACATGTGTACCTTTCAACAACCTTCATCCAATTCCCCCTCTGACCACCTCCCTAGAAAGACATGCTTTTATCTTACATCACATCTGGCATGTTTCCAGTTACAGAAAAGAAGATCCTAGAGCTAACTGTGACTCGGAAGTCAGCTGAGGTCTCTCCATACTTGTCATCCTGAAAAGTCAGAATGTAACCTCGATTAGGGCAGGCATTTTGCCCTTTTTTCCCCCACATCTGTATCCTCAGTGCCTGGAGTAGTTCATTATTATTCTGCATCAGCTTTAAGTATTCAATAAATATTTTTTAATAAATAAATAAGACTGCCTCATTACACACACATCATCGCCATCATCATCGTCATTGTCATCATCACCATCATCATCTGAGCTGGGCAGACTTATCAAATGGCCCCAGTGATTCCCACTAGTATTTTAGCTCACAATGTACATGTATATCAACTCATCACAACGCACACCTTAAATATCTTACAACT